CCAACATCAGCGCAGAGTCAGTCAGCCACGATGGAAGGCATCAGCTCAGTCTCACTGAGCAAGCAAAAGCAAGAGAAAGATGCTACAAAGGGGTGGGGTTCTGTTTTTCTCAGAAACGTGCTGCACTGTAGGACTGTGCCTTTTATTTTTGGCACAAATTGCTGTAGCAAATTATATAGCTTATCAGATGTGGTTTGTTAGGCTCAGTAAAGAAACCACTGCAAGGACTTGTTTTCCTTGTTGTCTGCACCCGATTATGAGATCAGCACAAATCAGATTCCTGATGTTGCTCAGAAACAAGGTTGAAACTCCAAGGGCCTTATTTTTCCTGTAACCAAATTAAGCATGATTGGGTTACAAACCAGTTCACCCCAGTTGGGTTGATTCTCTCTCTGACTTTACGCAAAAGTAGTCTGCCTGTTCACCTGATGCACAAAAATTTATTGGTGGATAGGAAGCTACGTGATCATTTCAATCATGAGGTAAGGCCACAAAGCTCCTCTTAAAACAGCTGAATAGAAGCAACATGCCCTTGCTCCAGGGTTGCATTTGGTCCCTTAGTTAAGTCTGAGAACCCACAGACTGAAGGATCAAATCCTACCTAGACCAGCCCTGAAGGATGTAAACATGAAACAGAGGAGATGCAGAAGGAATTTCAATATTCATTAGTAAATAGGGCTTAGCTACATCAACTAGGGAGCACATACTCTTTTTACTCAGTTCTCTCAGCTACTGGAAGAATTACCTTTGGTAAAGGGGTGGGCAGTGAGGAGATTAACATTGCCAATTAAATCCACTTGCATCCAGAGCTTCATGCACTGCCTCTCCCACACCAGTAAGACACTATCACCACTGAAATGTCATAACCTGTTTGCTCTGATGCCAGCAGATCTACTCAGCAGTGAACAGCTGGTGCCAAAGGTAGAGAGGAACAAGAGGGAGAAGATAGGCCAAATACAATATCCTCAGCCACCCATCTGTTTTCAGGGGAGGAGAGATAATATTTCATTTTCTACCTGTAAAGAAAAATGGATTCATGTCACATCCTTCCTTGATTATCCCCAGCATTATGCAATTCAATAGATTTGCTGTCTTGATTAGACAGGCAGAACAGAATTTTAATTGTGAGTTTCTGGAAGGCAAAATGGAGAGATTTGTATGAAAAAATTGGGAGGCAGCAGCGTTATTGGAAGGCTGAGCTTTTTATAGTCAGTTTTTCTGCTTCATTCGGCCATCTGCCTTTACTTGTGCTCTGCTGCTTGGGGTTGAGAAGTTGCTGGCTTTAAAGATGAGCCGCAAAGTTTAACCAGATAAATAAATGTGTGCAAGATCTCTCCCTACTAGCAGAACAGCCTTCAGCATTCCAGCTACATATGTTGACAAAAGGAATGTTTTAATTTTAACATTATTTTTACTGTTTACCAAACAGAAATGATGCATGTAGTTGCTTGCACAAGTCACAGTTAAAGGAAAATCCCTTTCAAAAAGGCCTGAGAAATTTAGACTGATGAAACTGTTTCACTGGGGGGCAAACAGGGAGATTATATTTTTAAATGCATGCTTATAGATGTATCGGTAGGAAGGGGAGCTATCTTAGGAAGGGGAGCTATCTTAGGAAGGGGAGCTATCTTAGGAAGGAGAGCTATCTGGCCTAGTCCAGTGTTTGTGGATCAGGGAGAAGGTACAAGTGTCTGAGTCAGAAGCCAATGCTAATTTAAGGAATTTGGAGCTCAGTTCATGCCAAAAATTAGGGCTAATATCAGTCCAGGATAAGATGAAATCAAACATGGATTTTCTGATACATTAATTCTAAGTTAGTGATGAAATGTGTCAGGCATATTTATTGGCTAGGTAAGTGGGTAGTAAAGCCATAAGGTAGTCTCTGCTAAAAGGATTCAACCCATTTTGGGACCTTAGTTGCAAACAGTGATTTTTCAGTGAGGTATAATTGTCTCCCTGTCTTTTCAATCATAAAATCCCTGTCAACAGAAAACATCAGTTCTGCAGGTTCGTAAATAGATTGTCCAGAATTTGAATATACAAATTCCAGCCCAAATAATCCATACTTTGAGATGTGTAAGGTCCCTGGCTTAATTCACTGCAAGCAGGACCTTAACCATTCAGTGATGTGTTTTCTCTCAGAAAAACTTTAAAAGAATGCTGGGTTCATTCCAATGGGAAAAACAGTTGCAACCATAAACACTTTCATAGGGCAGTGAAAATGTTCCTTGCCTGGATCTAACCTTTTCCATAGGTGGAATAAATATTAAAACATCTTGAAATAAACTGTTGCTACTAGACAAACTATTTACATTGCTAGATTGGAGTTTTCAGTGTGTTCTTTTCTGTAACATCACCCTAGCAATCCTAGTGTCAGTCCATCTAAAAACTGGACTAACAGTTTTCAGATGTTTTAAGCATCTAAAAACTCACGAAGTTTCAACTTTTTAATCTGAAAAATTGTGCTGGAAGCCTCCTCAGACTGTTCAACATAAGGAGATTTCAGGAATTTCTGTCTTCTCAATGGAAATATTTATATACAACACCTTGTTTTGTGGCTTTACTCTGGTCCTGGCAGTACAGCTGAGACTGCCTGGCACTCAAGCACTGTCCAGTAACATGGACACCTTTGTTTCAGCTACTGTTTCACCCCTCTTTGGCAGTAACCTCTGAGAGTACTTCCATCAGCAGTGCCATGTCTGCAGGTGGGAAAGGCTTGCCCAGTTTTTGCACTACCTTTGCTAGCTGCTATCTCTGCATCTGCACAGGAGGTGCAGTAGCTAACTGTAATGTCACTGTTTCTCCACCATTTTTCACTTTTATAGGTTTGCAATTGTGCAGGCTCTTGTGAGGATTGAAAAACCTGTGCCATCACCTACTGAATACTATTTTGTGCAGAAACAGGAACACTTTTTTTAATAGAGGTCAACTTATGTTTTTTCTTATCTCAAAGAATAAACTGTTCCTTTGGGGACTGTGCTCATACTTCACGTGGATTTTTTTTTCACTTCTTGAAAGAGTGATGCATTAAGAAGCAAACTTACAACAAAAAATTAAAGAAGTATCTGTAGAAATGGTTATGAAATAGCTTTTCACCATTGTCAAAGCACCATTTCAAGACGTGTAACAGATAATTAGGGCCTGACTTGAGGAAATACTTAAGATGTGCCCTGATACAGCAAAGCACTTAAGTATCAGATTATCTTCAGTCTTGGCATTTATTTATACACTTTGCTAAGGCTGATACTGGGCAAGAAAAGCTCATCTGAATTTAAGGCACTTTACTGAGAAGATCAAGATAATATTTCAACTGATTAGCCAGAGTTAAGGGCTTCTCCTTCTCAGCAATACAAAGGACATGCTGATACAACTGAATTCATTAATAACTGCAAATGCTTCCTGCAACCTCTAGAAAATGACGCCTTTTTCCTAAGGACCTCAACTGGGGCTTCAATGCCTGATGGCAGGCATGTGCATATGGAAATGTTATTGCTGGGTTAAACCCTAATCAGTTCCTATTTTTAAAGGGGTTAAGCAAGCAAGTTTGGAATCTGAACTTGCACAAACAAAATTCCATGCACAGAGCAATGGGCTATCTACAGTACCAAAGAAAATACACTAAGGTTTCGTAGCCTCTCCTTTCTGTGGCTCACAGAATCAGTACTGCTGTGCTTAGCAATAAAATATTTATCTAACTACACAGAAATAAATGTTAATTTTAAAATGCATGAAATGTAAAAGAGAGAGAAAAGAAGAAAAGCACTGCTGCAGCCTTCTGTTTGTGGACCTTCTGAATTTTTATTCTAAACACGAGTCTAACAGCATTCATGGAAACACCAGCTCAGCACTGTTGAACAGCACTCTGTTTCTTTATATTTATTTTGCCCCCTCATATTTTCTTCCATTAAAGTTTAGCAATGTACACAAACAAACTGCAGTGAGAAAAAAGAAGACAAAAATGAAACTCATAAAAAGGCAGGCAATAGAAGTGACCTTTACCACTCCTTTGACAGTATTTTGCACATTTGCCGGCTAGTGGCTAAGATTTTTTTTACACTTTCAGGCAACCATAGATGATAACATGAATAAAATTGTATGGTGTCTCATGAATTTAACAGAAACATCTTAGAGGCAATAATTGCTCTTTCTGGAGTGTACTTTAATTTAGAGATGGAATTCTTTCTGTGATTTATGTAGCAGTATATTTTATACCATGTAAGGTATGCTTTTAAATCTGCCTTCTCACATACACACATATTTGAAAAGTTTGCCATACACATGCTTACATAAACATAAACACACAGATTCATAGACATACACATACATAAGAACATGCAACAGGCTTCACATGTATATGTGAATAAATCCATGTAAGAAGGCAGGTATTTGTGTTTGTGCAAATGCAGAAATTTCAAATTATTATATTGCTAATTTGGCATTATGCACAGCCACAATGAATTATAAGCATATATATATATTTGCCATAAAAGATGGCACTCTAAGAGGAAAACATAGGAAACGCTTATGACTGACCTTCAGTACTTTCCAGTAGAGGTTATGGGTAAATTTTGTGTCTATTTGGGATCACTGTAAGCTTCTGATTAGCAGAAATAACCAGATGCGCATTGCTTTGTGGTTTTATTCCTTTAAATAGCAAAAGACACTCTCTGTGTAATGATATGCTAAGGAAGCAGAAACATAGCACCTACCTGTCTTCAAGATTGTCTTCAACTGCTATAACAGGGTGGTAGCCCAGTGTATTAGTTATGGTAGAGACTGCAACAAATACATTTTTGCAGCTTATGGGCCCATTCATTCCATGTGCCAAAACATTTTCTATGCATGCTGTGCATAGGGCACACAACACTTTATGTTTAGTGGTACTCTTCAGTAATGTAACCGCATGAACATCCTCATGCCAGTGACCTAGTCACATTCTGCTATGGATGGCTTAATAACCTGGGGACTAGAAGCCAGGAATTTTATTCCTTTTTCTTCCACTTGCTGGCTTTCCCTTTTTCCTATCCCACAAATTTAACTAAGATTCCACAAATTTTCCCACTCTGCAGCAAAAGGAAACCAGCCCTGTGTAAGTTTTTCCATACACAAGCAAGGCTGGCCTGTTCCACACTAGCCTTCAGATAGGGGCAGTCAGCCAGGACATACTACTTTGTGTAGCCAAGTCCCTGGATGGCCATTGTCCAGCTGCTAAACCACTGCCAGAAGGCTCAAGCCTAGGCGAGGCTAATCATAGCCCCTGCACTGAAGAACAGCTACACGAGACTGTCACTGGAGCAGCCTTAGGACCCTGGCCTCCCACATCCCACCTGAGCTGGTTGCCTGGTGGGCTGGCAGTCTATCTTGGAACTTTTCCTCCAATGCAAAGACATTTAGTTAGTAACAAGAGGTGGAGTAGTTGGGATGGAGGAGCAAAAGACAAGGAGCAACACAGTAGTCCAGTGCTTACCTCATTCAGCCACACTCCTTACTTCATTTGCAGCAAGGCAGAGGTAAATGTGGGTCTGCTGCCTGAAGGTGAGCTATGGAGACAGTTTTCTTTAACCAAAGAGCCAATTCAGTTAGCCTTTTTCACATTCACTATTCCTTCAAAAATATTCATTTTAGTTAGGTACCTGTAGAAAAAGTAACTGTTTAGCATAAAAATGATGGGCCAAGGCCCCCTACCACCTAGGCATAAAGGACTGGGGCTTTTTCATTTCTTTTTTCTCCTCCATGTGTCCTTCTGTGAGTCCCTCCCTGGAAATGGAAATGGTGCATTGTAATGCAGATTTCCTGCAGAATCTCACAGATCACTCTCTGCAGGGATTTCACTCTTCAGCTGAAATACTTTTCAGCCATGGTATTGTTCATTTATTCAACAGCTTTATTTTTAAACATAGAATGCTATAACTGTGCATTACTAATTCCTTTTGAAAGTATTATAGTGTTTATTTTTTGATTGAGGCTTGAGGGCTCAAGATCATTTAGCTGAGTTTTGTTGGGGTCTTTTTTATTCCATTATTTATGAATTTAAAATACACTATGAAAGGATCAAAATAAAGTAAAAGACCTCCAAACCCCACCAACCTTGTTTTCCTTTTTTCAGTCCCAGCACCCAGTCTGTTTTCTTTTTAATGCTTTCCACAGAGAGCCATTTTCTTTAATGTAATCACTGACTGATTGACTCTTGCCTCTGTTTTCACCTTCCTACTATTTGTGGAGGTCACAGAAACAGCAAAGGTTTCATTTAACTTCTCATTAGAGACCACACGTTGGCCCTAAAACACTCAGGAGCACAGAGACAGCCAGAGAAACACCATCCACCTCAGCCCAGAACCAGGGTGTAAGACTAGAACAGGGAAGCGGGGAAATCCTCAGTTCTGCCCTGAATTCACCCCCAGGAGCAGGTCTGGTCTTTGCCCTGGGTCACCTAATGCTGAAGTGATCAGTGTATGGTCTTCAGCAGTGCACTGGCATCTCCTCCTAATGGTGTCAAAAAATTCAGACGAGACAAGAGGAGTAACATGATGGTGAAGAACCTCTCTCTCCCCAGTAGGTAAAGGGAAGATCTGTGCCCCAGTACTACTGGTGCAGCTGGTGCAGAGGGAAGATTTTGTGACCATATGCCCAAGCTTTTCCTCTGCAACTGCTTCAGGGAGATCAATCCATTTTTGTGGAGTAAGGAAAAAACTGACCCACAGAAAACAAGACCTCTGTGGAGGAGGGAGAGGGAAAGGGTGGTATTCACTAGCTTCCCCCACCACTGCAAGCAAACTTTTGGTGTGAGCCTACTCTCAGCATCTTGCATACATGCTGTATGTCTTACCGATGGTAACACTTCAGCAGTGAGCAGAATACATTTGTCCTGTCCTGTTCTTACTATGTTAACCTATGCTAGAGTCTGGAGAAATCCGTTCTCTCTTCACAATTCAAGTTTGCTGGCAGTATCAGGCAGGATGGCTATGGGGATCTAAAGAAAATGAGCTCTGAAGTACTCTGTTTGGGGATCAGATGTTAATTCCTTAAATGATTTAATGCAGTTTAGTAGATTTCAAAAATAAGCAGGGTGGTTTGTCCTTGCAATGATGACCACAGCACACAAAATTTCCAGCCTGGCTCATGGAAAGTTCCTGAAGCATTACACTGATGTTCAAGAAGATGTTTGTACCTTACTGTAGCAGATGAAAGTTTGAGTTCTGTAGGTCTCAAGCATACTTAACTAGAAAAGACTTCATCCCACTTAAAGCAAAGCATAGTATTATTTTGCTGAATCTGGGCCTCCAAAAAAACTGAGTTGTATTGTTGGTCTGGAGGTAATGACCACAGGTATGTTTTTATATCTTTAAAGTAAAAAAACCAGCATATAATGAAAAAGAATATCTAAACTTTAGTTAAGAAACCCTTAGCAGAGGAAGTATTTGTTATGGGATAATAACAGTTGCAACCCATTACGTTACCTTTATAGGCTAAGCTCTGTCATAAAATATGTATGGGCAGTTTTTTGATTCATATAAACATAAATGATTTAATAAAGCATAATTGATTTAGAATTGTAAAAAATCAGCAATCTTGCAGAAAAAATGGGCAGCAGTAGACGGACACATTTTAAGTACTAATGACTCTGACTTAGAAGAATATCTTTACCCAGTGTATAATGCATGAGCAGTAAAATAGGTCAAACCCTGGAAGCATCCACATCTTTGAAATCATTATGAATACAATGGTTTTACTGCATCACCAATTGCATAAGAGCTCAAAGGCAAAGGCATATGTGGAATGCAAAGCACAATGAAAATCCTTGTTCTTGTGTCACAGATTAGAGAGCTACTACAGATTTTGGAGTCTTTCCCAATTTTAATACATTACATTCATGTGGCTGGTACTTTTACTTTTTCCTTTCTCTGTGTGATAGGAGTTTGTGCTTTTTGCAGTGTCCATAAGATATCAGCTATCTGTGATACAGGAAACTTGGCGTGTTAGCAATGATAGTAATTTTTATTCAAAGAAAAGTTTGGCCATCCCATTTCTATTCTGCTATGGCTTTGGGGAGGGCTTCATCCCATGATATCCCATCTCTGACAAACAGGAGAAGCTTGTTCGCTGACTACCTAACACTACAGCTGAATTTATGTCAGTCCTAGGTAATGAAAAAGGCTTTGTTATTTAACAGGAAAATAATAGAGAGCCTTTGTGCAAGGATAATTATAGTGGTTTGGATATTTCTGGATTAACTCTTGGGATGAACATTCATCTCAATAAATCACTAATAAATATACATTAGCATCATGTCTCTCTCCATTTTATACGCTAGTCATCTTTCTCGTACCACTCACAAATTTATCTGTGGTTGTTTTTGTAGTACTGGCTTCAACACCCTTCGTCTATACTTGCTGTATAACTGTAACAAAATAATCAGAACTTCCTGCATTTTACCTCAACCAATCTGTTTTCTGATAAAGAAAGCAGAAACGAAGTTGCATAGCTTGCTGGATATGTGGAAGAGTGATTGATAAATATTTGGACAGCACTTCAAAGAAATAGGACTTGTGTCATCACAGCATTAATTCAGTTTTACATCAGTATTAACCATGTAAACTCATGTCACTATCTTCTTAAAAACCAGCTGCTGAGAATCAGGCCCATAAAGGGCCATGTGCCATTGCTGCTCTTCTTGCAGTATTTCATATTTTTGATCAGTTATCAGTTGCCTGAGCCAGTTCACCATCCAAGTCAATGGGGGCTTTCTGGGAAGAAAGGAGTGGATGCAGGACAGTAGCAAATGTGGATGGCAGGTACCAAAGATGCCTGGCCAGAGGAGCAGGAGTCACTTTTGCCCAGACATCTTACTAGTGTGAATACACACCATGTCAAAGACTAGTTTCTGTGGAAAGAAGAAAAGCATTGAAATTGTACAAAAAGCCCTAAATACTGACCACAAAGATGCACTGCAACTCATGCCTTCATAGTTTATGTTTGTAGACATCAACATGAGCACAAGACTTCACTGTATTATGTCACAGCTCCTTATTTTTGCAAGATGACCCACAGATACAGGCAATGACATTTTGTCCAGTATTATTGCCCTAGCCCTTAGGTCTGACTGAAGATTTTTTGATGAAAATCAGGATACACAAGGTCCAAATATTTACCTTATACTTACAAGTAGTATTACTTGTAGTAAATTGTGCTACCTGATGGCTCTACTCAGTCAGAGGCCTATAAAATGGCCCTCTTTCTTTGAGAGAAAAGTGAGTTACAAAAGTTTACAGACGGAAATGAAGAGTGGGAAAGTACTGCTATTATTATGAAATAAAAGTGCTACAAAATTGCTGTGAAAATTGGAAATCCATAATTTTATTGCTAAACCTGGTTTTGCCTACAATAATAGTCATGAATAGTGGAGATGAGAAAAAAAAGACCCATTAGGTCATTTTTTCCATCTTCTTGTTAATTAAGAGTCTTCCTACAAGGATCTTGACTGTTTTGTTCATTTTAAAAATAGCTAAAGCAATGAGGGTTCAACTCATTCCCTTGGGAAAGCGTTCAGCAGATTAACAGATCTCACTGCTAGAAATTTTTTTCTCATTATCAGCACGGATTTTTCTTTGTTCACTTTCACTCTGTTACTTCTAGTTATACCTGGTTGTATCATTTCTACATTACATCAAATTCCATCATTTTTTCTCATGTCCGTATTTCTTTCAGCCCAGATACTGGGCTAAATCTGAGCTTCAGTGAAGAAACTCAGAGTAGAGATTGGTTATAATAGGTCCTATTTTTACTACATATTGAGCATACAAACAAAGAGAATTGCTGTTTAAATTCTGAATGGGAAATCTGAAGATCAATTTTTGTCTTCAACCAATTTTTTGTCCCCCCAAGTATATGGCTGCTTCTCAAATCCACTTAAAAAGCACTCAGAAAGCAGCTTACAGACACCAGATTCTTCCCTTTCAAGAAAACTGAACTGACGTGCTGGAGCTGCAGATCCCATAGTAGTTCATGTTTAAAGGAAAGGCATGTATTTTTGTTTACTACAGGACCAGTACCAGACATAAGTTTGCTCAGATGGTTATGATAGCTAAGGGTGAATATGTCCTCTATGCAGAAGGTCACAGCAGGGTATGTAACACTTAAGTCGAAATCATGCTCTATGTATATCTCCCTCTGAAATTTTCTCTAATTGGGAGATTCTGGGAAATTTTCTCCATTTATCCATACTTTGGGTATTTCACTGCCTCCTGGAGAAGTCAGTTGTAAGAAGAGTCAATTAAATATTATCAGTAATGGTGTGAGGTAGAAATCCTACTGTATAGTAAGAGAAAACAGTGAAAGATGTGTAAGTAATATTAACTAGTATTATGCATATTGCTTCTCTTTCTTTTCACCCATTCTCAAGTTTCTAAGAACTTTAACATTTAATCCCCTGTAAAGAAAGTGAAAGTTTTATTGATTTATTTTTTTTTCCAGTAAACAGGGAGGAAAACCCATGAAAAAAAGCACAACAGTCTTCCAGCCAATGTCAAACAGGGAGAAAATGGAACCAAACTGCCAGTAAACAAATGAACAAATGCATTTCAGAAGCTTATATTAACCTTAAATTGAACTAATCAAATTGTAATCATATATTTCC